ATTTGGATCTTGCATGATAGTTTAAGCATTCTTCTCGTCATAGCTTTCCTCACGGCTTCCGTCATTGACCACGTTCCCCTTATCGCTTTTTTGAGTTGGACTTTTCTGTTTAATGTTTTGGTGATGCTGGAATTTCGCGAAATTTTCCCCCTGTCGATAGTTGTTCGGCAGGAGGTGTCGATATGCATCATGCATCTGAGAAGGAAGTGGATGAACGTCCGATTGAGCTAGATTACGTCCTTTTATAGGCTTTAGCGCATAGCTGAGTTAAGCGTAAGAGAGTTCTTCCAGATTTTCACAAAAGGCTGCTTCTAAAACACATAGGATCTCAGCCCCCAGCGTTCTTTTTTTCGCTGCGGTTTTGCCCACACTGAACTTTTAAGGCATCCGTTTCGAACACTGCATTATCCGCACAGCGGTCGCTATTACTGCTGCCTGGGTTGTAAGAAATTTTAGCGACAGGGGGAGGGGTGTTCAAGTGTGATAAGAGCTGTTAACGATTGCTTTACGACTTGATAGGCGAACAGTAGTAGCCTTTTCCTTCACTCGTTTGGCCTGATTCTCACCCTGTGCCTTTTCTTACAAAATTTGGAGGCTAATTGATGTTGTCGGATGATTTCTCATATTTAGAGGATTACGCTGGTACCACTTTTCCATCCCAGCAGTTGGCTTATGACGATAGTTGTGCACTCAAATCAACTTGTCTTTTCGGTAGCTGTTCATCAAGATATTGCTTTGTAAAACATTTTGTGTCAGTCCTCTTGAAAAGCATGGGACTGCAAGGAAGTAGGCAGATGTGGGCATGGTTTTCTGGATTCTCTGCATTTCATTTTTAGGAGCGAAAAAATATTCCCGGTACTTGCTAGCTGCTAGGTGTCACTTTTTCAATGGAATATTCATCGAGTTGAACGGCGAATGCTTTTTGAATTTCTAGCTCCCACCTCTAATAAATTCGGAAATTTTGCTGTTGAATATCCGTATTTATGAGATTTGTAAATTGTTCAATTAAAGAACGCAGGAAGAGGGGCTATTTTCATTCTATACAAAGTGAAACTTATAAAAGCTGTGAGGTTAAATTACATTTGAATTGGCCATGTGCTGTTATCGCGCCTGGCCTATGCGCTCATCTGATTGCTGCCCATTTTTTTTTTTTTTT